ATCCTGGCAAGTTTGAAAGTTTCTATGCGAAAGACTGCAGCTAGGCAATAGCAGAACCAGTACTCAGTACTCAGCAAGAATATTCAGATTTCCCAGGACAGCCGAGAACGAGAAGTTTGTGTGTGACCTGGCGGAGTTCAAGGAGTCATCCACCAAAGACGTGGCCATGTTCACAAGGTGTTCGAGCCACTTGAAAGAGCTGGAGCAAGCCTACTTGACAGAGCTCGGCCGCCGCAAACCTCAGAAGAAGGTGAGGTCCATCAGCTCTGACTCCGGGTCGCGTTCACGGTCACGGAAGAAGAAAAAGAAGAAGGACGAGCGAAAGAAGGCCAAGAAAGCCCAGAAGGAAAGCCGTGCTCAGAGCCCCAAGCCGGAGCATCGACCCGAGCATGAAAGTGCTAACGAGGTGAGTGCTCAGGCACCCGTGGCGGCGCCCCCTTCACCAGGTCAGGGATGGAAGCCAGAGAATGAGAAACATGAGAAGCCTCAACCCTGGAATGAGAGCGCAAGGCCTTGGACGCCAAGTGGCATGCCACCACCTGGGCCACCACACCCAGCCCCTACCCCAGCTTATCAACCCCCAAGTTCCACACCCTGGCAGCCTCCCTATGGAGAGCGTCCTCCGGGCCCTCCAGGTTATCCACCCTACACGCACCCACCTCACCCGGGCCATTTGCATGGTCCGCCTCCCCATGGCCCACCAACTCATGGTCCACCACCGCACGGCCCACCACCACACGGCCCACCACCACACCACGGACCTCCACCACACCATGGCCCACCACCACACCACGGCCCGCCGCCAGGCTACCAAGGTTACCCACCACCTGGCTACTTCCCACCGCCCAGGCATGAGGGATGGCCTCCACACCCAGCGTACCCGAAGCCAGCGCCAGCGCCGGCACCCCACTACAACGCACCGTCGCACGCGCCCCCCAGCAACGACTCTGACTACCGACACTGGGCAAAGTCTGCGGCGCCAGTTCCGGAGGCTCCAGCGCCCTATCCTCCTCCTCCCTTCACGCCTCCAGGACCAGGGCCCCCACACGCACCTCCGCCCTACGGGTACGCCGGTCCGCCTGCAGCTGGAGGTCCTCCAACGAATTGGCCGGAAGCCCAGCCAAGAAGTTGGTACCTGGCTGTTCAACCTGGCCGCAACTCACTGCAAAGCAGATGCTAGGCCGTGAGGGCTGTGATTAAGCTGATCCCCCACCCGAGCAGTTGAAACCGATTGTAGCAGGTTGAGCTTTGGAAGGGATGGGCTTGGGGTGCCTCGGCCCAAAAACTGGTCTCTTCAAAGCGGACCCCTCTGCAATTCAGCAGAGTCCAACATCACGCAGAAGAACACAGAACAACGCACAATGCTTAGCAATGAGGCAGTGACTCTAGCTGCGTGTTCTGGGCCGCGTGGCTCTAACTGGAAGCCCGGTCGAAGTTGCTGACACGACGTAAGAGGCAGTACATCGTATGAGTAAGCATGCCCAGTTTGCTAAACCATCCTGCGCAGCAACACCGCGGCATGACAAGCACCATACTTTTGGAGTAGCTGCAGGCAACTCGAGAATTCAAAGTCAGAATTATAAGAAGTTGGTTACAGGGAGATGGTGCAGAAAGCTGATCAATCCACAGCCGGAGGCTTGTCCGGCCGTGTCATGGCGCTGCCAAGCTTGGTTGGTCAAGCCATCACTTTGCAGGGCCCGGACGCGTCGCAGAAGCGTGCTTCCGTTCGAACAGGGGTTGCCCTCAGCCTGACACCTTCCCTGGCCAAGATTGCCGACAAAGACGTCGTAGTGGAGTTGCGAGGCTTGCCGCAGGCACCACCGTTCAAGGTGGGTGGTCGGTCTGGGAATGCCGTGACCAGCAGCCAGTGCAGCAAGATCCACCGAGGATGGCGAATCGTCGCTGTGTGTGGCCAGCGCGTACCCGCTGACGAGGTCGCAGCTGCTCTCTCTGCCGCGCAGAAGACGGCGAAGTATACTGTGACCTTTCGGCTGAGCACGGAGGAGGATGTCCCCAGGGAAAAGTTGGAGGAAGATCGCAAGAGAGAGCTGGAGCGGTTGGAGTTCGAACGGGAAGAGGCGCGGCTGCGTGAGGAAGAGGCGCGGCAAGAACGCGAAAGGCATGAGCGTGAGAGACTGGAGCGTGAGATGGAAGAGCGCAAGCAGCAGGAGGAGCGTTTAAAGGAGGAGGAGAGAAGGGCCCGCGAAGTGGCACGACTAGCTGCAGAACAGAGCTTGGAGAAGTCAACCGGCCTGCCACCGCGCGAGAAAGTAGAAGAACCACAAAAGGCTTTGCTGGCAGCTCTGGCGCTGCAGGCGCCGAAAACATCTGCACCAGTTGTGAAGCCTGGAGGGCCATGTGACAAGTGCGACGGGCCACACGCCTCCGATGACTGCCCACACTTTAAGAAACCTCGAGATGACCATAAGGATGCTTATGAGAACTACCACAAGGGCAGTTCCCAGCAGGAGAAAGGGCAGCCCGAAACATTGTCCAGCAAGTCCGTTAGGGTCCTCCCTCAGCCTGGAGATGGTTCCTGCCTCTTCCATTCTCTAAGCCATGGCCTCAAAGGCACCAAAAAAGGCGCAACATGCGCAACAGCCCTCCGGGCCGAGATTGCTGACTACATTGCCGCCCATCCCCAGGAGGAAGTTTCCGGGAACCCAATCTCCGATTGGGTGCTCTGGGACTCGGGGGAGGATGCTCAGGCCTATGCACTCTCGATGAGGGAGGGCTCGCGCTGGGGTGGTGCCATGGAGATCGCCGTGTGTGCCAAGCTTCGTAGTGTTAGGGTGGACATCTTCGAACGAAGATCGGACCACTTCCTGCGGATTGCATCTTTCGGGGGTGCACAGTCGGAGCTCGTGCGACTCCTATATGGAGGCCGAGTACACTACGATGCCCTGGAAGTGTGCTGACCTGCAAAAGCAGAGCTCGAAATGTAGGCTGGGCCGCGACGTGCGCAACAGGTCCTGTAGAGCTCATAGAAGAGGCCACGACGGACACACGCAGATATATACACACACACAGAGACACACAGACACACACATATATATATATATATATATGATTCAGCCCCGGCGGGCCCCCCCCCCCTCCCCTCCCAACCCCCCACCCCCCCCCCCCCTGTGTGTGGTTGGGGGTTGGTGGGTTTTAGGGTTTAGGGTTTAGGGTTTAGTCGGTTTAGGGTTTAGGGTTTTAGGGTTTAGGTTTAGGGGTTTAGGGTTTAGGGTTTTAGTTTAGGTTTAGGGTTTAGTTTAGGGTTTAGGGTTTAGGGTTTTCCCCGCGGATGGGGTACTAAGATGATCCCCCCCCCCCCTGTGGTGTGGTTGGGGGTTGGTTTTAGGGTTAGGGTTTAGGGTTCAGGGTTTTAGGGTTTAGGGTTTAAGGTTTAAGACTTAAGGTTTAGGGTTTAGGGTTAGGGTTTAGGTTTTAGGGTTTAGGGTTTAGGGTTTAGGGTTTGGGGGTTTAGGGTTTAGGGTTTAGGGTTTAGGGACCGTAGAGTAGACTTGGGGGGGGGGGGGGGGGGGGGGGGCCCAGGACGCTCGACGCTGAACCATATATATATATACAGATATTGGTTACTTAATTAAACTATATATTGTATATTATATATTGTATATACGTATACACCCCTCCTTTTGTAGGACATCCCTGGCAATCCCTGGTACGAAGCGAGGCTGGGGCCGGCCTCCGAATATCCCGGCCGCTGAAGTCTGGCCGACTCTGCCGGAAGGTGTCCGCTGTTTCTGGTTCAGGGTTTCAGGGTTTCGGGTTTCGGGTTTAGGGATCCGAATGTTGAAACACACGCCTTTGGGATGCCGCGGATGTAAACTTTTGGCGGGCATAGGAGTGCTGCCTTATGTCTGACCGATTTTATGCTAAGTCTCAATCGTGCCAGGTGGAGTTGGGGCGCGTCCGCTTCGCTCGTGAGTGGGTGCACGTGCTGGGCCACAAGGGCCATTAAAGTGGTATGCCAGCAAGGCCCTTGTGTGGCTTCCGGGGCCACCTCCTGCTCCCACGACGTAGCAGGAGTCCGGGCTCGGAGGGCACCAGACTGAAGAAGCTTAAGCTGTCACAGCTTGTTCGGCAAAAGCATGGAATAGCCCTCTTTGTCGCAGCACTTCGGTACTGAGGCCCTCCGTTCACGACATGTGCAACCCTGCATAGGCATGCTTTCGCTCCTTGGATGTCGCGCGACGGTCTGGAATCGTATGGCATAGTCGTGTCATCAGGCTGAACTCACTTCAACATTTTTGCACTTGGCAACAAAATACATCTCGAAAGCGAGGCTCAGGAAAGGCCCGCTCTAGGATGGAATAGTTTGTGAAATCCCGTCAGACACTTTGCCACGCGCACGCGTTGCGAACAAGATGCCTCTGCGACGTTCCACGCTTCTGCTGGCATTGACACATTAACATCGCCCCTGCGACCCGCGCATGTGCGAAAAGAGACTTGCACAGGCACAGCTGCATCTACATGAACCTTGTGCGTAACACAAGGGAATGCGCCATTCTGTGAGATGTCAGTGTGCTGCTGCGCTTTTTTTGCAGCTTCGAGGGCCGAGATTGGAAAACCACCTTGCGGGGAGCAAACCCAAGACTCATCCTCTCTCTCTCTCTCTCTATATCCGTGACGATACCCCTTAGGTTAAAAACGCTGACGAGTTGAATGAACTTGCTTGCGCTGTTGGTGCAATCCGACGCTCTTGCTTTCATGTGGCATTCCCCAAGCCGGTTGCTTGTGAAGCAACAGCCCAACCGCAAGTGCATCTCGCACCACAGTGGCACACCCATGCATAATCACCCAGAGTTGACTGACATACCTGTCCGTGATTCTCTCTCACTCTCTCTCGCTCGCTCGCTCACTCGATCTCACGTTTGCGCATTTTGCATCTCAGAAATCTGCATTGAGAGTCGCATGCTTATTCTCAGCTCAGCTTAGATTGAAGGCAACGACTCCGCAAAACCAACGAAGAAGGACATCATCCGTTGGCACAGGCCGGCCATTGCAAGCCGATTCTTCGCCATGCGAATTCCCACCAGCAACTAAGCTGCATGCTGGCGTTTTGGGTTGCGGGAGGCAGATTTGGTGCTTGTTTCGCGAGCAGTCATGTGTCACGTTAGCTCCCAGCTCCAGCTCCCAGAGAACTCTCTGGCCTTGCCCTTTTCCCTTCGCTCTTTTCTTTTCTCTCTTTTCTCCTCTTTCCTCCGCGTCACATCGCTCTCCTCCTGCTCTCCCCCTCCCCCTGCTCTCCCTTTCCGCCCCACACCGTAGGCTCTTCGACGCGTGGAGTAGACAGGCTGAGAGGGGACTAAAAAGGCTCTCGTATCTCTCTTTAACAGCTTATGCCCGCCGCATCACATCTCAATATTCAGGAAGTTTCGTAGCTTTGCAGCAGCAATGGCAGCAAGCTGGGATCGGCCCCCGGGGCCTAACACGCAGGCAGAGCTTTTAGAGGCCTGCCTAGAAGCAGAAGCAATGTTGAGCACAAAGAAGACTCCCAAGGCCAAGACAGTCATGGACTTGCTGAGACCTCCGTTCAGGTTGCTAGGAACTGCAGAAAACCTGCATTTCAGGTTGCTAGGAACTGCGGAAAACCTGCACTGCATAGCCCCAAATCCTGTTGACGCTGGAAAACATGCTCCAGAACGCTCGGCCAAAACTTTCAAATCTTGGGCTGCAGCCGTGAGAGCTGAATAGGCAAGTTTGCTGCATATTCGTGCGTTAGCTTATAGTATGCTTTGTCATCAAAGTTCCGATGGTTGAGCCTCAGCCGCCGGCACCTACTGGCAACTCATGGCGCACCCAGAGATAATGTGCGCAAGCTTTGGTCACACAGGTCGTCAGCAATTCCAGCGAGATGTTCCGGAGGAGTGCGGTGCAAGATTTCCCGAGCCTGTAGTCTGCCTTCGAGCATAGGACAGCCAAATGCGACGGAGGGGCTTCCTAAAACGCGCATTACGCGTGCTTATGCTTATCCAGTATTTGACATTGGTGTACTCTGCAGTGCACCTGTGCAGGACATCCAGCCCATCTCCATCGCAATTGTTGGCCGGCCAAACGTGGGCAAGTCCACTTTGTTCAATCGCTTGCAGTCTGGTGACCTCGGCTGCACGGGCAGTTCCCGCAAAAAACAAGAGACATCAACCAACGGCCAACAACCGAGACCCAAATCTGATACGCAGAAATGCTCTAAGCAGTGAGAGGTACGCGACGGAAGAAGAAGGACTTGGACCACAGAGCCATTATCAGCGAGCGCGCAGGCAACCACTGGCAATCTCGTAGTTAACTTGTTAGGAAATTCGTGCCTTCCTTGGACTTTGTGTTAAACTTCTTCTGTCCGCACGCCGCACACCCCATCTTCCTGGGAAGTTGTGACATGTTGTGACCAAGCCCCCACCATTCACAGACAGACCCGGGCTGCCCGAGCGGACGGCTGCCCAGAAGAGTTTTCAACCATGGTTCAACTATGTCCAACTCTCATCATCAAGCAGCCATTGCTCGAGATGTAGCATGTAGCTGGACACAGACCGTCACAGCATGTAGCTGGATATCAATCGCCCCGAGAGATGTCTGATACTTCTCTGTCCTGAGCCCTTTGAAGAGCTGCATGCGCAGTCAGTCTCGCTAGGTTTAGAACAGTTCGAATGCCCTCTTCATGATATGCTTTCCTGCTGACCTCGACAGGCACCACGCGCGATCGCAAAGATGCACTAGCAGTGCTCTATGGGCCGGATGCCAAGTTTGCCAAGGCTGCTTTCAACCTGCTTTCAACCGGTGCGTGTTTCTAGTGTAGTGTTTTGGATCTCGGACTACGATGTGAAGAGCCTGAAATCCAAAAAGCTCCCCAACCTTTGTGCAAGAGTGATGCGATTGAAGGCTTCTGCTTCGAGTCATTGACACCGGGGGTCTGGAGAGCCCGACGGAGACCTCCGCAAATACGCTACTGCTGCTGGGTTGCAGAAGAGACTTCTGGGACACGGCATATGTCAGTCGCTAAGATTAAGCAAGCATTTCCCCAAAGGAACTCTTTAGTACTAGTAGCTTTGCCGCCGCATTGCTATTGAGCCCCGAGGCAGTCCATGCAAGAGCAGGTGTGGAAAGCGATCGCGGAGGCGACGGCATGCCCACATGAGCAGCAGCATGAACTCCCCATGAACGGAACAAGCTAAGGGGTGGAATTTTGACAGCGCGGCAGTTATGGTCCGGAGCGTGCTAGCACGCGATAGCTTCTGCGAGCAAATTCAGTGCCCGATTCACACGAGAAGTCGCGGGAGAACCCTTCAGCTCATGGTGTGGAATTTATGTGATTCTCTGGGGATTCTGGGATTCTGATACTCTGGGGTTGGGCACTCCAGGGATTCTCTGGCGATACTCTGGGGTTGGGCTCCGGGGATTGTCGGGAGTTCCTTTTTCTAACCGTGCGCCACCCCTTAGCACCCAAACCATAACAGCACATGCCTCAACCTTCAACCCACCAACAGACCCCAATCCAATACCCAAATGATGAAAACCAATCTATGGAACCACGCATACCCACATAGAGAATAACATACCCCACCCCATACATAGCATGCCGCACCCGATAGAAAACCCATATGACCGTAGAAAATGGAAATGGTCTTCTTAGATCAAGTTTCTATAGTAGGTATAAGGTGTAGGAATCAGGTAGTCGCAGTGCCGTGCGATTTCTACACACGCATGTGAGCTTAAGGGCTGTTCTTGACTTCTTTGGATGTCTAGGGCTTTGGGCGCTTTTGGGTGTGTAAATGTGTGTCTGTGTAGAATGGTTTTCATCATTGGGGTCTTTTGGTGGGTTGAAGGTTGAGACATGGCGGGAGGAGGAGGAGGAGGAGGGTAGCTTAAAATCTAACAACCCCACAGAACAAGCGAAGAAAAAAAGAGATGAAGGGGGGGAAACGGGCAACTCTTGAGTGAAAGCGTTGAGTCCCTTGAGGCGCATGCGATCCTTTTCCTCATCGATGCACAGGAGGGCGTCTGCCAGCCGCGCTTTCTTTTGTTTGCTTTTTCACATCTGTTCACCTTGAAAGCTTGTATGACGTCATTTTGCTGCCATGCTTCATCATGGCTTCTCCAGCTTCGTGCGGAAGATAGCTGACAGATGTCATTCTGCACTATCCCGCCCAACGGCTATAGGGGATAACACCTCGATCACTCGAGCCAGATCACGCCGAGCGATCTTGCGATTGCTAAGATGCTGCGAGAAGGTGCAGGGAATGTCCCGAGCTCGGATGGGCCTTCGGTAGCAAAAGTAGAAGTGAGTCAATTGAGTTTGGGATGGGCTCGGGGGCTGGATTTGTAGTCTGTTTCGACTTCTGTGTCACAAGTGGGCATCTGACCCGGTGTCCCCTGGCCCCCCAAACCAGCCGCTCCAAGTGCCCAAGCTTTGCTCAGGCAGATCGTTATCGGGACCTCTTCAAGACGGAGACGCCCCGGGACGTTCCGTGGGAACCCCAAGACTTTAGTGCTGCTCATCTCTCGCCACAGCTGGGGGGGGGGGGGGGGGGGGGGGGCGGCAGAGACTGGTGCCCATGCGAAAATGTTTCGACACGCTTTCTTAAAATCGTGAGCTGGTTGTGTTGAGTTTGAATTTTGAAGTGAAGCAAGAGCCAAGCAGGCATGCGACAGCCTGGGATAGTGCCAAACCAGCAAAGGATCATCCTCATCGCCAACAAGGCGGAGAACACCTTCATCGGCCCCTACTTGAACGACTGCTACGAGCTTGGGGTGGGAGATCCGGCCGCGATCCTGGCATTGGGGTGGCAGCGGCCTCCCCCTAGGTTCTTCTGAGTTTGAAAAGTGAGTGTGCCCAGGCGTAACGCTCGTCCAAAATCCATGCCGGGGGGGGGGGGGGGGGGGGGGGGATGGTACTTGTTGTTAGTCACCTTGACCGGGCAGGTCTACTCGCGCACACTTTCGCATGTTTTCGCAGACCAGGAAACGCAAAGTGAAAAGGCATACAAAAAATATGAATGCTGCATGCGTTCTTGTCCCTGCGGTCCGAAAGCAGCAGGTGATCATCTCGGCAAAGAAGAATCAAGGTATGGCCCGAGCCCCAGACGGGTTGCTTAGCACAAAATGGTCAGACCAGGATTGGGGAAACTTCGGTTGGATTCCCTCAGCTACGCATGCTACGCCCGTGAAGAAACGTGCAGAGTGCAGGATGACCTCCATGACCGGCTCCTCCTGGAGGTCGGACATCTCCAGCACCGGGAAGAGGTGCAAAAGCATTGTCTGACAATGTCTGAACTCTTCGATCTTGGGTGCGACGAGCAAAAATAGCCTTGTGATCTCTTTGTTTACCGAGCAGGGGTCTTGAGTCAAGTGTTACGTTGATGTGCAGGAGAACCCTGGCACCGCATTCATGCAGACCGACGAAGATCGCATGTACTTGGAAGGCTTCAAGGGGGGATGTCATTGGATGTCTTGAGTAGGCACCTCGAATTGGCTCTCTTGGGCTTTGCAAGGCCTTGAGAGCCAAGAGCAGACGGATGGAGAAGGTGACGAGGAAGAGGTGGCCAGCTGCCTACTAAGGGGGAATAGGGATTTCAGTCAGGCTCGGATGTAGCACAGGCGGGCAAGGACGTTTGAAACATTTTGAAAATGCTGACTCCAGAACACATCATGTGCGGCCCAATGACACATGTAGCGTTTGTCTCAGGCATCTCGTTTTGGGACTGTCGTTGATCAGTCCCATCATGTCAGCCAAAGCCGGTTGGGCATCTTTGCAAAGTCAGCTTGTCCCATGGTTTCCCCATGTTTCCCCCCTGTTCCAAAGCCTTGCCCGTCAAGAAGTGCCAGATAGTTTTTTGAACACCTAGGATCTAGGACCTGCGCACGACTTCGGAACTGTATGTCGCCATTGAGAGGCAGAGGCCGATTTCGAGGAGGATGAGGACCAAGGGCTTGATAACCACAGCTCTGCTGCATTGCCGATCTGGCCCTGACCCGCAATGAAACATGTAGTCCATGAGCAATGAGAGTCTCAGCTTCCAGCTTGAAGAAGAAAAAGAGCCGCGCAGGAAGTCAGTGGGCCCAGCGACTCAGAGAGCGGCCTGCCGACAGGCGAGCGGGCGGGAACTGGCCCTAAGGCAGAGGGCAATGGGGGCAAACTCAGCTCTATGTAGCTGCATTGCACGGGGCCCTACATCGCATGTGCACGGGACCTCGCGCCCGTCGAACGTGGATCCAATGCGAGTCTTGCCACAGGACCCACTTTGCCGTGGCTCACGTTGGACATGCCAGAAGAGAAGTGGAAGTCACTGAGGCACATGGGCTGTAAAGAATATAATTGCGTAGGCCAAAACTGGCACAACTTTCGTTCATCGTCGCTCCGGGAAGCTGGTGCCAGATACTATGCACATCATCCCGCTGACCCTCTTGGTGCACTGGACCCGGGGCTCAAAGTGGGGGGCCCTGCATTGTCCACTTCACCGGTACTCTGCACCCTTTGCCAGGTCCATTTGGGGAAGCTCTCTCGGTGTTCAGGTGTTGCTGCCGGTAGATACGAGTTTCAGGGTTGCGACCAGGTCCATGGTTGCAAACACTGCAGCGGGTGAGGGATCGATGTGCGCTTGCACCCCCTACTCAAAAAAGCGTTGCGACTTCTTGTCCCGTCTCCGAGGCTGCTGTGATGCATGATGACGGCAGGCGGATTGGCAAGTATTGGCTGGATGCGGCCACCCCAGACTACTCAGCCTTTTGCTTTCGCTCTTGTTTAAGTACAGTATTGTTTGTCGGTCATCGAGGCTCTTGTGGACCAATCCTGTTCCGATCTATTGGTAGCTTGTCTCTTCTGATTTTCGCACACAGCTCATTTCTGTGTGCATTCCAGTTATGGCAGGCAAGCACTGGCAAGCAGCTAAGTCAATCAAACCCTCATTGGATCACTTTTGCATCTGCACGCGTACGCGCCATTTGGTCCAGCAAACCCCGGCGACCTATCTTTTGTCACTTTCGTGGCCCATACTTGAGTCGAGACTTATGGGAGCTCATAGAATATAAGTGTAAGTCAAGCCATTTAAACCAATTCAGCCATGTATGTATATATATATACATATACATATATATATATATATTCATGTTTTATTATATTTTCATTACATATGAACCAATGATTTTTGGCCTAGCGGCATGGGCCGGCCCCTGCCACGCAGAAAGCGAAGCCCTACACCTTGGCATCTATCATCCCCATACCTACCTACAGGCCTGCAGGTTGTTGCGGGGGAAGGGGGGTGGCAACCGGAGACTGAGATTGCTTGAGTGGTGCCGCAGAGGGGGGGGCTTAGGTAGCTTTTTCCTGAGACCTAAACCCTAAACTCTGTGGACCCTAAACCCTCGCACGAGCGCGCGCACAACAGCATCACTTTCTCTGCCTCTCTCTCTCTCTCCCTCTCTCTCTGGCTCTCTGCGTTGCGCTCTTCCCTCTCTCTCTCTCTCTCCCTCTCTCACGGGTGACCTGCTAAAGGTGACCGGTTTTTCCCTAGCGCCTCGCCCCACGAGCGGGGGCGGATAGTGGATAGACCGTTGTTTCCGCTTTTAGGAGAGAGGTCCACTGCAGGGCCGAACACCCGAAAAGCCAAATGTGAGGCTCCCCAGCGCTCACTCCCGACCAAAGAGGCCGGTCCACCCGGGATAGTTTTGAGATGTTTTGAGTTTGAGCGTTTAGGGTTTTTGAGTTTGACGCGCCACAGTCCTTTTCACACCGCATGCTTTGTTGGAACGGTGGCTGGTTCAGTTGGATTTCTGTATTGTGCAAAGTGGGCAAGTTGGAGTGATGGCAACCAACTCGATTATTCGGATGCCCTTGGCATAATTCATGCAAACCACTGATGCTTTACATGCCGGGTCCCAAAGTGGACATTTGAGGGTAGTTATAGGGTGCCAGTCATTAGAGGAACGCCGGTTGTATACACCCCTTGGATTCTGAGATTTTGAACGATCCGACTGTGCTCTGCACCCATGAATGTAGTGGAAGCGCTGTCCAAATTGCATTCCGTCAAGAAGGTCGGACGGATCATGGCCATACCCAGATTATGTGCAGGCAAGGGACTACGTCCTTCAGCCTGGGCCTTGCGGCACTGAGTTCTGTGTGCGGGGATGAAGCGATTGCAACTTTAGCTTTCTTGGGACATCGCGGATGAGATTTGAGTTCACATGAGTTCACATGAGTTCGCAGTATGGGGTTTCAGACACGAGCCTATGCGTAAACACCTCAGCCCCTGGGTAAGAAGGCTCATAAGCTAGAAGACACTCTACAGCATATGCCACAGACCCTTGAGCCACAAAGTTTCCACAAGAGCAAAAACAGCTGATTCTCTTGCTTGCTGAGGCAGCGGCGGGCTGAAGAGATGGAGAACGCCATGAAGGCGCAGCTGTTTGCTTGTAAAGGAGCTATAGTGTCACCGCCTGTATACCTCTAGTGTTGTCATCGTCTTAAGAGCGTGCTGCAGGTGGCGATCATCGGGCAGCCAAATGGTGGAAAGCGGCGCCCTTTCACCAGCTCGTTCCAATCAAGGGCATCCTAGCATTGGTCATGGGCCTGCCAGAAACAAAGCTTGGTTCGAATCCAACCCGTCGATGGCTGCTCGCTTCACGCTTACGCTTGCAGTAGAACCGCCCCAACAGCAAAGCAGTAGCAGCAACAAGAAGAGCCCCGGCAAGCGTTCCTGAGCTGTATGAATGCCCTGGCTTTCAGCGGCCAGTTGCTTTGCGACGCAAGAACCCCCCAACTCCAAGGTCCAGCATCATCAACGCACTCCTCCAGGAAGAGCGTTGCGTGGTGCAGCCGACTTGTTTTGACAGAAGTGGAGCTAGGAGGTTCCGCCGGCAGTTCACGGTCGAGTTTCCGGGTCGCTTGTTTGCGTGTTCTTTATCAGGCCGTTTTCTTTTGCAATGCGAAGTCGGCCATGCTAGGTGGACGAAGCCGATGGCACCACTATGGATTCAATCGTCACCAACTGGACTCCGTTTTTCCTTCAATTGGTAGGAGAGCAGGTATAGACCTAGAATTTCAGCAGCAGTGAACCCGGGGACTTCAACCGTCAACTGACCATGCAAAAATGATTGCTGCGGCCTGCAGAAGTGTGAATTGACCTGCGCCCAACCACAAACTGTAAGAAGATTCGGGTCGAGGCGTCCAAAACTGTGGTCAACGTCCTCGCATGGCGTTGCCAACGCTTTCTTGCTAGACGGTCGTGGTCCATACATGCACTAGTGACATTGTTGTTCGACGGCGCTCGAGATAAAGGTGTGACTACTAGAACTGAGCTCGAACCAGCTGCCGCAGGACGTTCAAAGAGCATCCCGTGAAGCTAATTGACACGTGCTGGTGCCCAGCGTTGTGCTCACGCGCTAATTGTCCACAAAATGGACAACGGCTGCATGTGATGAGGTGTGGGATCTACCGCGGATGGCAGTACTCCGGTACAACTGCAGAGCTCTCCGCCCAGCAGAATGCCCTTAGGTTGAGCGCGCAGAGACTTCCGACTTTTCTTGCTACTGCAGGAATCTTGAAAAAGTTGAGCTCCCGCAACAGCCGAAAGTTGAGGTTTGTGCAACCCGGCATGGGCACACGCAAAGCAATTCGACGAGCCGCGGCCCCTGGAAGGGGCGTTCGAATTCCCTGTCGACCTCTCCCCACTTTTTCATTTGTTGTTTGCCGTGTTGGGAGTACGTGTACTAAGTACTATGTAGTTCCTAATCTTTTGTCCAATTGTCCAATCCATCACCGCGTGAGGCGCACGTTTGCGTGCTTTGCCTGGATGCCCACCGCTACTCCAAGATGACGCACAACAGCTGCCGCGAGCTTTGTGGGATGAGCGCGGCTCAGCCATGATGTCAAACGTAGCCGACCTTGTGAGCCGACATGGCATCATGAGGCCCGAACAAATTTGAAATCAACTTGGGCAACTTTGTCGCGGACGAAGGCAAGTGTTTGATCATCGCCTGGGGCCTGAGCGTCACGCACAGGGTCAGAATGCGCAATGAACTCTCTAGGACCATAGGATGAGCTGTTTTTTTTCAGGCACTTTTAGGCCCTAGGCCACCCCGACAAGAAGCATCACAGGCAATCGTGAAGGCTAAGAAGACGCCAAGTCGTGACCATGTCTTCCCCTCCTTGGCTCTATGCCTTTGCGGTCTGAGCTGAGGCGGCTTGCTGAACACCAAAAGCTTGTAGGTCGGAAGCCCTTGTTCTGAAGTCGCACAAAACCCAGCATTTCCACCGACTGTCACAACGAACGCACTACCAACGCAGATAAACGCAGTCAACCTGGCAAACTCACTGGCAACCAGCATTGAGTCGCGGAGTAGCCCATGGCCTGCAAAGAGGATCCAGAGAAGGTGCGGCGGAAGTGCTCTAGTCTCAAATGCCTTGGTGGCGTTGTAGACCATAATTAGAGTACTGAATAGCATTTTCCAAAAGGTTGACAGGGCAGATTGAGTCTGCAGCTTCCGAAAGACCAGTGACAAACCACCGTGGGCAGGTGAGCGACTCTGGTGCGGTCCCAGGCTGGGCTGATAGGTTTCCTTAGAAAAGCTATTCTCATCTTTCCCATCTTTCTTCCTTCCATGTGGGATAAACAGTGTTCGGAACTGCCGCTCGTGGAGCGTGCACGCTGTTCAACACCAAGAAGCTTCAGGGGGTGGCCGGCCAGACTTCTCGTGCAAAGGCAGAAATCCAACTCCTTTGGTCCCCTGAGCCTTTGAGCCACTGACCGCCTTACTCCAATGAAGGCGCATGTCTGTGAGGATTAGAAGCTGCGCCCCACCAAGAATTTAAACCCCCCCCCTGGATCGACAGAGCCACCACTCAACCCCACCACTTGTGCGATGTCCTCAAGAGAGGAGATACGAGGAGGAAAAAAACATTGTGCAACGTGAGCCAACAATGCAACGATTGGCCCGTGCTTGCTGCTGCGAGCTAGTCCACCCCTTGCTTGCTTCGTAAGCAGTCCAGCCAGCGGCTGACGGGCATCGAGATGCGAAGCTGCCAGGCTGGCGCGTTCTACAGCTGTCTACATGGAGCTTCTCCGAGGACATCGACCTTGAAAAACCCACCGACCTTGCTTCAAGGTTGTTGGATGGCCATGCCTATACTTCTAAAGTGTCCGAAGTGCCATGCTTCATCCCTGACGTTTCCGGCACCTGCCTTTCTCAAAATTATTCTACAGGAGGGGTGCCCCTCACGGCAAGAACCACAGGAAACCTAAAGAACTTCAGCAGGTTGCTTTGCTGGGTTGGCTTGTTTAGCAACTGTCCTGGCGTGTGGGGTGTCTTTGACGTTACGGGGAAAATGCTCCGGAAAAGCCACTTTTCTCAGAAAGCCAGCCACTTTCTGCCAAAAGTTACTTGCGCGCAGCGTCCCTGAAAAGGCACTTTTCTCGAAAAAGTCACTTTCTCGAAAAGTGACTTTTCTCGAGGCGTTGCGCGCGCGGCGTCCCGGAAAAGCCACTTTTCTCGAAAAGCCACTTTTTGCGAAAAGTGACTTTTCTCGTGGAGCTGAGCGCGCATTGTTTTCGAAAAGCCACTTCTCTGGAAAAGTCACCTGGACCTGTGTAGTAAAGCCACCTTCAGTGTTTTTTGCCGAAAGTGATCTTTCTTGTGGTGCTGCGCGCACAGTGTCTCTGAAAGCCATTCGTGCTGACATTGCTTTTTGTTTCCCGAAAAGACGGGTTTCGCGAAAGTTGATCTTTGTCTCGCCGCTATGCTCCGTAAAGAAAACAGGGCTGTTTGAAAAGCTACCTTCTGTGACGGTTACCCTTTTCGTGAAAAGCCAGGACTTGTTTTACGAATATATTCTTCTTACGGGATTGTGTAAGTAAGTTGCTTGAGAAGGTAGTGTTTTTGAAAGCCGGAAAAGGCAGTGTCTGCTAGAAGCTTTTTGTCTCTTTGCGGTGTGTGTGGATTTGGTTTGCGTAGCAACTTCTCTCGCTGTCGTGGACAGCTGCACGATAGCCATACGCAGCACTTCCTTGTGGGGCTCTCTGGGATTTGGGTTTAGGGTTTGGTTTAGGGTTCAGGGTTTGGGTTCAAAAGTTTAGAGGGATTGGGGCTTCTGCATGCATAGCACATCTTTGACTGGGGTGTGGAGATATAGAACGTTCTGGACGTACTTCTTCACGTGCTCACTTACCATGTGAAAGGTTAGATCTGGAACCTTCTGAACCCTCAACTCTAAGAACCCTTGAAGGTAGAGTTGCAAGATAGACTCTTGAACCCCTAAGTCCTGAGCTATAAAGCCTAAACCCACTAGATCCCTCAAATGCTGGCGGCCACACACAAGAGGTTCTGTTGGTTGGGCGCCGTGTCACTTAGTGCAGACGTGTTGCATGTTGTCGAGAAGCTACTTTTCCTGAAAAGCTACTTTTCCCGAAAAAAGCCACCTGTCTCGAAAAGCCACTGTTCGAGAAAAGCCACTTGCATCGAAAAGCCGTGTTGGGTTTTTTGTGACTTTCTCACGGCGTTGGGGCGGGCAGCGTTTTCAACAACACGTACGTCTCTGGAAAAGCTATTTTCAAAAAAAGCGTTGCCTGTGGCATATTCCGGAAACGCCGCTTGTCTTGAAAACAAATTGAGCAAAGTGGCTTTTCTCGCGTCGTTGGGGCGCACAGCGTCTTTAGAAAGCCACTTCTGTCGAAAAGCCACCTTTTGCGAAAAGTGTGCATTTTTTCGCGACGTTCGCGGCAGCGTCCCTGAAAAGCCGCTTTTCTCGAAAAGCCACTTTTTGCGAACAGTGACTTTTCTCGCGACGTTGGCGCGAGCAGCATCCGCGCAAAGCCACTTTTTGCGAGAAGCAACTTTTCTGGGCGATTTTCCCGCTAGCCTGGAAGACACACCGCGCGACAGCTTAGTTTAGCAAGATCTGGAAATGCCGCCTCCAGGTCCAGCAATGCGCCACACCTTGCAGTGCAACCTAGAATCTTAGAAGTGTAGCCGGCCGAAGCCAGTCCCGAGCCCATTTCGGCCTACTTTCTGTATCCGAAGCTGTAGCTGACGTGGATTCAATATGCAGACACGAAGATGTGCATGGCGTCGACGGCGTAATGGCATTAACGAGAACAATGGCGTCAGCGGCATCTACCAAAAGTACTCGCACATGCTTCCTTCGGCTGTAGCTGACCAATTGCTTCACTCAGGTGCTGTGAGTAGGTGTGCATTGACACCATGCATGTTGTTGCGGGCACACGGGAGATTCAGTTCCTCGGAGAAAAAAGCGGGGAGCCATGCAAGCCAGTCGAGGATTTGGGTTTGCGCTTAAAACAGGAGACCGCGCTCGATTCATTCCAGCGCCTGGCTGCAGCAGAAGGGGTGCGCCCAGCTGCAAATTGACTCCTGCTTTCGAGATTGCCAGCTTAACAGTTGCTTACTAGCCTTAATGCACGGGTTAGGCATGGTTAGGCTCGATTGTCTAGAGACTGCCCGGCCTGGCGTCTATTGTGCACACGGGCCCGCTCCTCAGACCGTCAAGCTCTCGATTGCCTCGGACAGGTCGTGGCAGCGGTGCTCCTTGATCCGGATGGAGATGCTGCAGAGCGTGTCTCTGCAGATCTAAAAGTGGAAATGATTGCGACTTGATATGAGAATGTCAGATGAGGCGTGTACGCTGCCCGTGCCAGGTGGGCATGCATGCTGGTGACTGCTGGTGGTTATGAGAAAGAATCTGTGAACAAAGCTATGCTTCCCCCTCGCTGATTGAGATGCGAGAGAGTACATGTGGGGCTCGACGAAGCCCAGGCTTTGGGCCAGCGATGGCATGTCGTGCCATGACAGCCATGATGGCCAGGCAGGGTTCGCACAACAAATTCAAATCAGGGTCTTGTCGGGTGAGAACATCAACATCTCCTGGCCCTTGTGTACGTACCACCTGTAAACACCTTCACTGCCATGCATCAAGCAAGTCCAACCTCTTGCAGGGGACCAGCATGAAACTCAGGTCATCCATTGCAACACGTGGGCGCTTCAGTCGTCGGAGAAGACGACCAGGCACAAACCCATGAAAGGTTCACAGGCTGCAGCCGACCACAGCCGGCCTGGGACGCTTGATGTGCGCTAGAGAGTTACTAGAGAATGCTTCACACACATGCAAAAAACGTCCGAAGTTGACGTGATGCAGGTCATGCTGCCCGTCCCATGCAACGTGCTCCAAAGCCGAGCACACCTGAGCTCCCCACACCGACCACAGCCGCTTTGCTGGAAAAAGTGACGTGTTGGCAATGCTGCCGAGCTTGGGATTTCAGGGCTTCATGATTTCGGTTTATTGATTTGAGCCCGAAGCCTGAAGCTCCAAGTTCTGCAAAATAGAGATTCGTGCTAACGTCCGTCGAGGAACCACCCATGGACCTTTGCACTCAGGCCAGTGACTCGAGCTCACCTGCAGGGGTAGATTTCCTCGACAGTCAACCGAGCGAGAAGGACCCGCAGCTTTGTGCATCACACCAACAGGTTAGTAACAGGGAAGTAGAGGGTTTAGGGGCAAGGAGTCCAAGGAGCACTTCCTTCCACTAAATACTTCATTGGTCGCGACAGACAACAGACAGAGAAAAGGTGTTTAGCGCATCATGTAAGAGTAGCAGGGGGCTGACTTGCATGTTTGGTAGGAAGGATTTCGGGCTCGGCCCGATAGGGAGGTGGAAGAGATAAAGTGGCGAAGATATATACGGCATGTTTCATGTATTGTGAAGGGTGTGAACATATACATGAGCTTGATTGAGTCTCTGCCGCCGCAGCGCGCATAGGCTCGGAGCCTGTTTAAAATAGACCTTTGGCCGAAACCCCCTGCGAATACACATATACATATGTAAATAAAATATATATATATATATATATATATATATCCATACACATTTTTTAAATGCCTGCCGAAGCATACCAAAAGGGCAACCTTGTGCGAGTCTAAACGAAGAGAACAAGATAGGGAAGGATAGACCATATACCATATCAAAC